GGATTGGAAATGATGTCGGCTGTCTGGATTACATGAGTTCTTAGGAAAGGCGTGATCGGAAAGCTGTTTAGACCTGGCTTTGGAATGTGTGTCATTTGATGCAATCCCAGTGCTGCCTTTTCCTGCAGAGGCCCTTCCCAACTCTTCCAAAGGATGTTGTTATTGACCCAGCACTGATGTCTGTTAAGAGACAAGATCTTTGGCGAGAAAAAGGTATTTCCCGTATGCTGTGGTAGAAGGGCAAGGGATACATGACTGATGGCTGCTGGTCCTCATTTCACCACTTTGTATATTCCGGGAGAATGGGAACACTGGAGGAGACTGGTGGCATTGGGACCCAGAGACACACCTGCTGAAGAGTTTTGAATGAACTTGTGGAAGAAATGGGTGGATCATTTGCCTAAAACTCCTGTGGGCTTTACCAGTGGACTGCAGGTGAATGTGACTGGTCTCTTGAGACTGCCTGAGATGACCCCAGTGCTGCCAGGAAAACAGTGACTTTGCTCTTCAGGGTCAGGTCTGTAAGAAGTAGCTCTGGGCCAGCATCACTGCCATGCAGAAATGTGTGTGGAGTTGCCATCACACTAGGGAGAAGCCGAAGTAAAACGTGGTCAGGATCTGCATCTTAGAACATTAATGTTTAACGTTTAAGAAGCACCGATCTGTAAGAAAGGGTAGAAAATTTGCAAAAATTGCTAAGTGTCATCTCAGGAAATCTAGAAAGCTATGCTTGTCTATTCTGATAGGGCTTTTTAAGGTTTTTCATACAGAGAGGGGTATTTCACTTGATTAAGTGAAAATGAGCCAAGATAAGAGTCCTGGAAGATGTAAAGGATGGCACGTATGTGGAGCCGGTGATAGGATGTTCAGTATTTAAGCTAGAAAATTGTTTGTACTCTCCCCAGTAAGATGTAATTTCTTGTCTTGTGCCTCTTTCTTTTCCCTGTCTCTCCTTGGCCCCACCCTTTCTTTCTTGGCAGCTTTGCTGAGGTACAATTCACACATTACACAGTTCAGTCATGTAGAGTATATAATTCTACCTGTCACCGCAACCAGTCATAGAACACTACCATGATTGCAAAAAGAAACCTAGTAGTCAGACAACAGAGGTTTTTAGCTCAGTGTAACTATTCAATGTGATCATATAATAGTGGATGTATGCATTGTCAGAACCCATGTAATGTCTCTGTTAGCTTTCCATTCCTGTGACAAAATACCTGAGAATATCAGCTTACAGGAGAAAAGGTTTATGTTGCCTCACAGTTTCAGAGGTTTCAGTTTGTGGTAAATGGCCCTTTTCCTCTGGGGCTATGTCAGGGTGAGCAGTTAGTTCACTGTAGCAGGGAGCACAGGCAGAGGAAGCTTCACCTCATGGCAGCCAGGAAGGAGAGAGGAGAAAGAGGAAAAGGGAGAGAGAGGGCCAGGACAGAAAGAGAGAGGAAGAAGAAGAGAAGGGAAGAGTATGATGCAAAAATGAGGCAAAGAGATGAAAATAAAAGAGCCAGGATCTTAATATCCCCTTCCAGGGTTCACGCTCTGTGACTTAACTTCCTCTCATGAGGTCCCATCTTCTGCAGCTTCTGTCACCTACCAGTGGTGCTACAGGTTGGCAACCAAGCCGTTAACTTACAGACCTTTAGGGAACACCCAGGGTCCAAACCGTGATATTTTGCCTCTGGTCCCCAAAGGCTCATGTCCATTTCACAAAACAAAATGCATTAGTCCTTCTCCAAGAGCCTCCAGTGTCTCGATAATTTCCATATTGCTCAAAACTCCAGCTCCAAAGATTCAGTCTTTGAGACTCATCACCAATTCTTAGCTGCGAGCATCTGTAAAAATCAAAAACTAGGTTACTGCTTTGAAGATACAGTGACAGAGGGTCAGCATTCCCATTCCAAAAGGAAGCAGTAGGGGCACAGACAAGAACAGGGTAAAGCCAGGCCAATCCCAGCCAGGCGAACATTGAAGTCTGAAGTTCTGTGTCTGGGAAACGGGGCACATGGCGGCAATGTGCAGGGTCCAAGAGCTTAGGTGGTGGTCACTGTCCTGGGCTGGTTAGCTCTTCTCACTGCCTATAGCTCTCCTCGGGAGTCACCGCATGTTTCTGGAATCTCTAACTTCGTGGTGTCTCCATTGCAGCTTTGCCCCACTCTAGAGCTTCATGCATCATACTGTCAGGGGCTCCTTAACAGTGCCACACGTTGCCTGTCCTAGACATCCTTTGAAATCTCAGTGGAGGCTTATGTGACTGCTTAACTTCTGCCTTTTTTTTTTATTTAAAGATTAAATAAAACAGAAAATAGGTAGAAATAGTACATACATTCAGAGAAAAAAAAAGAGTAAGAAATCACTAGTTGATGTTGTTTTACAAATAGTTGTTCAAGGTACAAAAATGGAACATGTAAAGTGGGAATTCAAACAGAGAGACTGCAAAAAGTTCTAATCAACTGTCCAACAAAAACTTAGTAACATAGTTGTCAATCCTATACATTTAAACATACATGCAGTTATCCATATCTTCATTTATGTTTAGATTAAACAAACTAAAGCAGGTTAAAATCATTTTGAACAAAGAATAATAGTATTGCTGGATTTCACTTCATGACACTCCATGATCAGCACTGGGTACTGTAGTGTCTTCTTTTTAAAACTGAATTTAAAGAAAGACTGAAAAAAACAGAAAATGGGTAGTAATAATACATACTTTCAAAGAAAAATAAACAGTAAGAAATCACTAGTTGATGATTACAGATTGTCTTCTTACAAATAGTTATTCAAGATACTTAATTGGAGCATATAAAGTGGGGATTCAAACGGTGAGACAGCAACCAGTTCTGTTCAACTATCCAACAAAAACTTAGAAATATGGTTATCAATCCTCTACACTTATACATATATGCAGTTACCCATATCTTCAATTATGTTGACTTTTAACTTCTGCATTCTAAACGTCAGCAAAACTAACACCACATAGCTGTACTGGGAGCCACTTGAACTATGGCTGCAGCAGCCTCTGAGCATTTAACACAGGGGAAATAGTTCCCTAAGTGGCCCTGTATAAGCAGCGTACCCTAGGGCTCTTGTCTCACATGAAAGGTTTGTATTTTTATGCCTCTGAGCCTGTGGTGGATGGGGTACTGCAGATTCCTGAGATGCCCTGAGACATCTTCCATGTGAGCCTGGTGCAGGGCATGTGGCTTCTTGTTAATGGTATTAATCTCCTTAGCTACTGCATTCTCCTTTGTGGCTATTTAAAAGGGCTCTTTGCCCGGGGGTTAGCTCAGTGGCATACTCGTGCCTGTCTGGCAAGTGTGAGGTCATGAGTTCGATCCCTGGTACACAAACAAACAAATGGGTTCCTTTTGTAGTCTACAAATTTTTCAAATCTGTTTACTCTGTTTTTTGCTTCTGATTCTCACTGTCCATCTGGCTAAAAGCAGCTAGCAATATCGATGCCCTGCCTGAATACTTTGCTGCCTTGAGATTTCGTCTACCAGATAAACTAGTAAAATGGTGGCAAACCTTTTGGAGCTTTTAGTGATACAAATAACTTGCCATAGGATGTGTGCGGTGGATTCGCTATCACTGAATTAGTCAGTCAACTTTAAACTCAGCTTCGCGCAAAGTTTCAGGGAAAGGAAAATACAGACAAGGTTCTTTGGCAGAGTGCTCCATGAACTGCCTCTGTTCTAGTTCCTCACAGAGTTCTCATTTCTATCTAAACCCCATGAGCCTGGCCTTTGCTGTCCACATCCCTGCCACCATTCTAGTCTTAGGGTGCCCAAGCAGAATCACTTGTTAAGTTTGGTTATAGCATTCTGAACTTTCTCTCACCTGTTACTTCAAACTTTTCCAAGCTTTCCTGGCAAGACACTTCCAAAGGCTTTATCAAACATAGTCACAGTGACAATGGCACTTCACAGTACCAGTTTTCTGGGTTAGACAGCTCTCTGTTGCTGTGACAGCCTACCTGAGAAAATCACCTCATCCAGGGAAAGATATTTTGGCTCACAGTTTTAGTCCATGGTTGCGTGACCCTGTTGCCTTTGGATTTGTGGCAGGAAGTGTTGACAGAGGAAACTGCTCACTTCACAGTGACCATAACGTAAAGAAAGAGAAGGGGCCAAGGAGTTGATGTCTTCTACAAGGGCATATCTTCAGTGACCTCACCACCTTATAAGCTCTACCCTAAGTAATACCACAGGCTGGCAAACAAGTCTTTACTATATATGCCTTTAGGAGATATCTAAGATCCAAACCATAGCAAGGGACAACACCCTGAATGAACCCTCATGGATACTGTGGACTGTAAGCAGTGATACATCAGTGCAGGTTCATCCCTACTGACGTGTGCAATACAGGGTTGGAGTGTTGGTAGTGGGATAAGGGCATATATGGGAGCTCTGTTTTGTACCCTTCTTTGCAGTGAACCTAAAACTGCTTCTAGCTGTTCTTTTTCTTCCCTTTAACTTCCAGATTGGTCTTTTTAATTAGACTTGAGAGAATCTTGAAAACCTGAGAGAAAATAATTTATTTCAAATTCTAGATCGTTTGCTTCTAAAATAATAACGCACCCTTTTATAGCCTAGTAGACAGTAAGGCAGGGGGAGGGATTTTAAGTGCTTGGTTCCCCCCCGCCCTCGTACCTCCTTCCCTTCCTCTTACAGAGAGCAAAGTAAAGACTCATGGGAGATTGGGGAGCTGAGTTCAGCCATGCGGCAGGGGCAACGTTATTTATGTGGTCTCAAGAATCTCCTGGGTAGGACCCGTGTCACAAGGGCCATGGGCGTTGGTCCTGTAAGAAACTGACCCCCATCTTCCTCACCAAGTGAGGGCCATGTGTACAGCTTGTTTCCAGGCCATCTTTTGATTTCCTGAAACAAGAAGAAATCTGTTCCTTAGAAGATTTACCCTCCTAACAAGCTGTGATCAAACCTATGCAAGTGGCTTGATGAAAAGCCCCATTATGGCTATTTTCAAAGTTACCATTTGTGTCCTAGACGGCAGCCCAGGAAGCCATCCTGCATGCGTCCGGAGCTGGCTCATCCCCACCCTCTAAGGACTACTGCATGCTGTACAACCCGCGTTGGAAGGAGCTCCCAACTACCCTGGAAAATGCTGTAAGTGAATTACAGCTGACATTAACCCATCAAAACTAAAATTCCAGAAAGGTGCGAGCAAGTGATGGCTGTGTTTTAGCATTGAACTAGATGTGACGTATGGAGATTAATGCTGATTATTTTACTAATTTTGCTTAAGTACTTTTCCATAAAAAGGCGTGTTAGGGAATATGGTCTGTTTATTTTCGTGACAAGATCTCGCTGGGTAGCTCAGGCTGGTCTTGAACTCCTTACGGAGCCTCCTGAGTAGTGTGTACACCACACCCACCATCATGCATTTCTCCCATAAAGGAAAATCAATTTCAGTTTCAACGCTGGAGTTTGAACCCAGGGCCCTTGCAGGGGGGCGGTGTGCCACTTAGCTATATCCTCAGCTCCTAAAAGACCATTTTCTGTGGCTGCCTGTCCACGAGTGCGTTCAGGTGAAATGTGACCTGCGTTATGTTGAAGGCATTTCCTGATTCCAGACCTCCTTGGGTTTGAGGAACCTGACTGCCACACCGCTGTGCAACCTTTCTGAGATCCCTCCCGATGGCATAAAGAACAAGGCGGTTGTCGTGCAATGGGGACCCTGCGACTTCCTGCAGAAGGCCAGCGTGGCACAGGTGGGAGGCGCCGAAGCCTTGCTGGTGGCCAACGACAGCGTTGCGGTAAGTGACTGAGCTGTGATGTGCTCTCAAGCTCACGACATCATGTTCCTCAGGAATCGGCTTAATTTCTTTGCGTGTGGTGGAGGGGCTCAATTTGGAACAATCCGACAGTTGGATTGTTTGCCAGTGAGCATTTTGGAGGAGTTTTAATTGGAAAATTTTATTTTGGCCCTATTTAAAGAAGACTCTGTTAGGAGCAAATGCACGTGTGCATGTATGTATGTGGTAGGCTTGTGTGAGCGGCACACATGTGTGTACAAGGTTTATATCATGTACAGCATATAATGCCATGTACAGAATATGTCAGCACAAGCTGCTGTTAAGAGGATTCCACCTGAGCATTGCTATACCATGAGGAGAAAATACCTGAAACTTCGTTACATAACTTAAAGAAGAGTGCAGTATTTACACGTAATGTTTGTATTGTAATGTTTATATTTCTTTTATTCTGTAAGTGTGTATGTAATATATAATACAGTTTTCTTGTATGTTTTTTTCTCTCTTAGTTTTTTCCCTCCGGGAACATATCTCAATTTCCTGATATGAAAATACTAATAGCATTTATAAATCACAAAGATTTTAAAGACATGGAGCAGGTAAAGTAGTTTTTTATGTGTTGGTTTACAGAGTGCATCTTTTACCTTTAATGCTTAATTCTGATTATTCTGTACATTTGCTAGCAGGAAGCTTACATTCTTTGTTGGGAAAGTCGCTCTCATTTGATACAGTGCCATGCTGGACTCCACACAGTGTGTGGTATTTACTTATTTTACTTCCTTTAGTCTCTTGCTTCAGGTCTCGTATCTTAATTTTAAACTCCTGCACCAAATGTGATCGTGTGGGTACTGTAAGCTCTCGAGATGTCATAATCCAAAGTGTGTGCTTTGCCTGGAGAATCAGGTCTGGTTGTGGCCAGTTTCAGAGCAGAGAAAACTGACTCCTGTGTCCCTCTGCCCCTCTCCCCGCAGACCCTGGGGAGCAGCATCACTGTGAGAATGTATTCCCCGTTGTCCTCCACCTTTGACTACACCATGGTGGTTATTTTCCTCATTGCTGTGTGTACAGTGGCGCTGGGAGGCTATTGGAGTGGACAGATTGAATTGTAAGTATGCTTAGACTTACAGTTTTTGTGATAAGTGGTTAAAAGTATTGTTTTATAATCACATAATGATCCTTTAAAATTTTGTCTAACCTCAGAATATAGTGCCAGCAAGGCCAAATTAAAAAAAGAAACAACAGTGTCTGCCAGTGGCCCATCATTCAGCACTGAGTTGCAGGGGACACAGTTATGTGTCTCTATATCACATCCTCCCTGCCTGTTGCCTGGGCCCCCACCCTCATGATCCCATCAGTGTTCCCCAGAGAGACCAAGGGTGTGGGAGCAGAGAAACAGCTGATTGAAATAAACTTTGTTTTTGTCTTTTTGAGACAGTCTCACTATGCAGTTCAGACTGGTTTTGAACTCACTGTATGAGGCCCAGGCTGGCCTCAAACTCGTAACAACCCTCCTACCTCAGCCTCCCGAGCGCTGGGATTATAGACGTGCACCATCACTCCCAACTGTTTTTGTTGCTGAGACAGTCTTGCTGTGTAGTTCAGGTTGGCTCAAATTTTCAGTGATCCTCCTGCCTCAGCCTCCCTAGTACTGAGACTACAGGCAATTACCATCACACACAGCTATGTAATACACTATTTTTGTAATTTTAAGAAACAAATTTAAATTGGTGTTAGAGATTTGGGGGTGTTTTATTTGTTTTGAGACAGGGTGTAGTGGTACATGCCTATTAGTCCAAGACATGGGAGGCTAAGGCAGGAGAATCATCGTGAGTTCCAAGGCAATCCTGGGCTACATAGTGAGACCCTATCTCAAAAAATCAAAATAAAATAAAATTAGCTAAATTGCCCAGGCAGGACTCAAATTGTAGTCCTCTTGCCTCAGAGTTTTGGGATGACAGGTGTATGCCAGCACATCTGATTTGGAGGTAGATTTTATTTTTGTTATAGTACTGGGGATCAAACTCATGACCTTGGGCTTGCCAGGCAGGTGCTTATGCTGCTGACCCAAACCCCTGGCTTGGAGGTTGATTTTTAAAAGAACTGTACTTGGCGGAGATCTGGTAAGGTTTCCGGGTGTGTTTGTGCAGGGAAAACATGAGGACAGCGACAGACACTGAAGACAGAGAAGTGAAGAAAAGAAAGGAGGAATATTTAACCTTCAGCCCTCACACGGTTGTCATCTTTGTGGTCATCTGCTGTGTCATGATGGTCCTGCTCTATTTCTTCTACAAGTGGTTGGGTAAGAAGCCACATTTTATGTATACTGCTTTCTTTCTTTTTTATGTGTACTACTTTCAGTGTACATTCTATTCATTTGCTTTGATGGATCTTTTCCTGAAAGCGTTCATTCCACCTGAAATATTTAAGTAAATAATTTGGTAAAGTTGCCAGAAGTATTAAGTCTATATTACTCTGAGATTAAAAAAAAAAAAAAATCTGAGCCAGGTGTGGTGGCTCACTCCTGTAATCCCAGCACTCGGGAGGCTGAGGCAGGAGGATTGTTGTGAGTTTGAGACCAGTCTAGGCTACAAAACTGAGCTCAAGGCCAGCCTGACCTGCATAGCAAGACCCTGTCTCAAAGAAGACCAAAAAAAAAAAAAAAAAAAAATCTGATTAAAACTGTGCCATGTTTTGAAATGAGAACACTTGTTTATGGGTGACTTGAGAGAATTGCTTTGGTCCCCAAATATCCTACTCTGCTGATAAACAATGATAGCCTGGTCTTGAAGCTGCAGACTAAGGACTTTTTGATGACTATATTTAGTTGCATGAAATAAAAGATGATTCAAGTTACTGATTTATTGTTTCTCCTTAACCCCAAAGTATATTTTAGCCTCTTGTCAGTTGGCAAATAAAATGCCATATTTTTTGGTTTTTGTTCTGCTTGTGCAAGCAGTTAACATCATATTGTCTGTGAAGACACACAGGTACCTGCCTGCGTTCTAGGCAGGAATGGGTTCTTTTCCCTTTAGATGCCACAGACAGGAACTGTAGTGACTTGGCTACCTCTGGACAGCCTTGTGTGTCTCTAGGGGGTGAAGATTTGCTGTCCCTGGCACGCACAGGATGGAGACCAAAGAAAGGTGGAATGCACCTGGAGAATTAGCAAAAACCTTTTGTGAAAACCACTGACGGCTGCAGTATTTGTTCAGAGCACGTTAGCATAAATCTCTGGGCCAGAAAACAGGAGCTCTCTGATTGGTTTCAGCTCATTGTTCAGTTTTTCCTGTGCTGTGGTGAAACCTTACAAGCCAGACCTAGAATGCAGAGTCCCAAATTTTCCCTTGTGCAGTCTGGGGCTTAGCAGGATGGTGTGTGTGTGATGCTGGCGCTGAGCCCCAGGTTAGGAATCTCGTCATCAGCTTCCCATTGTGCAGTCTGGATTAGGCGATGGATTCTTTCTTATACAGAAAGAATCTTCTACCTTCTCTTGAAGTATATTTTAATTTTTGATGAGCTATTTCTTCAAACACATTGCTATTCGAAAGGTGATGCTCTTTATAAATGTAATTTTTGATATAAGAAGATCATGCAACCTGGTCATTATCCCAGGACAAAGGATTTAACTATGATGCTGGCAAAACTTGCTGTGATTTTGCAAGATTTTGTTTCCTTGAAATGGCTCATTCCAGCTGACTTTATAGCTGTACCTTACTTAGTATGTTAACTAAGGCTCGCCTCTCGCTTTATGGTTGGGAAAGTGACTGCGGAGCAGTGATGTGAACCAGATTCTTCCCCTGCGTGATCATTTCCTAAGATACAGCATGGTGTTGAACGAGGCTCTGAAGCCGGGGAGGGCATCAGGAAGCATGGTTCCCCACCCTGGGCACACCCTGGCTCAGGCAGCTTGGGCTATGACTCATCTGACCAGGCTGGCAGTCAGTGTCTGACTTCCTGCCCGCACCATGGCACAGGACCAGGAACCAGAGAGCCACACGTGGCAGATGGCTGAGTACCATGGCGTGCCCGGTACTTTTCCCAGCACCTTTCCCACATCACCTGTCTTATCCTTACTGTGACCCGACCTTGCTGTTCCTGCCTTTGTGGTTTAGATGTGAGACTCAAAGAAGTAGAAAAGCAATTTCTCCAACATCACCGATCCAAAAGTGGCTGCCTCTTTGGCCCCCACGTGGAGCTGTGAAAAAAAAAAAAAAGTGGCTGCCTCTAATTTAGTGGATCTAGATTTGTCTCTCTTCCTCTCCTGCATAACAGAGTATTAGTTTCCTGAAATTAAGTGGAGTTTTAAAAGTTTAGATAGTCTTTATTTCTGTTGTGAAATTTTTAAGAATGCTCAGAAAAGATTTTTTTTTTTTTGAGACAAGTCTCACTGCAGTTCAGGCTAGGCTTGAACTCACTATGTAGCTCAGGCTGGCCTGGAACTCAGAGTGATCCTCCTGTCTCAGCCTCCTCTGCTGGGATTACAGGTGTGAGCCACCACAGCTGGCAGTTGTATTTTAAGAAATATTTCTTAATGATTTATTAACCTTTTCATTTCTTAGGTTTAAATTAAACTGATAAATATAGACAACTCACTTCATTGAAATCTTTCACAGACAACATCAATTTGAATTATTGAATGCTAGAAAATGCAGAGCCACCTTCAGCCCTTTAAGGAATCCTGCCAGTCTATCATGGAACTGAAATGACACATAAAGTTCACATTCCTGAAACTAAATATTTTCAGCTTAGTAGCTAAGATGATAATATGGGCACTGCACTGAAAGTTTCATGACCCCTTATAGAAAGCTAAAGAGTTAATTCTGTTTGCATGACTATTCTGTTCTCCCATCCTTTCTGTTACATGATTTTGTGTCTCTTTTTTTCCTAGTTTATGTTATGATAGGGATTTTCTGCATAGCTTCGGCCATGAGCCTCTACAACTGTCTTGCTGCGCTAATTCGGAGGATACCTTGGGGACAGTGCACGTATGTATCTTTTATGGAGAGTGCTATGGTGTTGGCATTTCAATGTAATACAGTTCCATGAAAAGCAGGTGTGATTTTAAGCCTGTGCAGTCCAATATACATTGAACCTTTGGCTCCTTAAATTAATGACAGTTAAATAAAATTTTGAAGCATTTAAGATTTAGTTCCTCGGTTGAGACATATTTCAAGGGTTTTAAGGCTACCCTTTGAGGCTGGTGGCTGTTGGATTGAAAGCATATTTCCATCAGCACAGAAACTTCTGTTGGGTTGGTTGTTATGTCTCATTTGTTTTACCTAAAACCAGACTTCTTAGTTGGTATTTAACCATTTCTTGGACCAGTAATGTTTAGCATTTCTTATATCACATGAGCTTTGTATTTTTTCTGCAGCATACACTTAACTGTCTTATCTTTTTTTAGGATTGCATGTGGTGACAAAAGCATTGAAGTGAGACTTATTTTTCTCTCTGCACTGTGCATAGCAGTAGCTGTTGTTTGGGCTGTCTTTCGGAATGAGGATAGGTATGAACACTCAGTGTATCCTGTTGCACATTGATCTCTTTCCCTGATACCTACTTATTATGATTATTATAGAAGATTTTTGCTTCTATCCTAGAACATGTTTTAAAACCAGCCACTTTTTAAATGAGCAAACCTTATACTAATGATTTGAATTCATATAGAAAAGAAAAGAAGAGTTATGATTTAAATATCTAGATTTCAAAACTATTGTTAATTGTGGTATAGGCACATAATGGAATGCAGTCTAACTCATAATAATAAAAAAGACGGGCCGGGGAGATAGGTCGGTGACAGCACCTGCCTGGTAAGTGCAAGGTCCTAAGTTCAAATCCCAGTACTAAAAAAAAAAGAGTGAAAAAGACTTCTATGAATCACTGTACAGGAAAATATATTCAGGATGTATTTTTAAATTTAAAAAAGCGAAGTATTAAAGAACATACAGGTTATACTACCTTTCACGTTAAAAAGAAAAGGCTGTATGATACCTGACAATTTAGAGAGAAGAAGATACAGAAGATACCTGTCCCATGCAGAAACACAACTAGAAACAAATCCATGCACACTTGGTTTATTTAATGGTTAATTCATAAAATTATTGATGACCTAAACATTTAATGGCCTGGAATCTGGGAAACAAGGTTCATGCCACTTGAGGAGCTTGCTTGTATGATCATCAGTGTCATGATGGTGCTGGTCAGCTTCTGATAGAGTAAGTGGCATGGCTGTCCCTTCTTTATGCACTAGCTGTCTACAGGCTCTGGACACAAGTGTCCTTTGTTAACAGCTGCCTTCCAGAAAGAGACACGTGTACATGCACAGATGAAAGACAAACACGCTTGTGGACCTGGTGGATAGTCTTCTGTAGCAGCCTTCAACTTTTCCTCAGTACTGTAGAATTCATTGTTTTACTAGGTCTGTGAATGATTAAATGGGGAGAAGGTGACGGGTTTTGGGTGTTGCCATTTTTGACTCTTGAGCAGTCAGATCATAGCAATTTAATGAGACTGCCTGAGAGATCTACTTCCTTTTTTAAAAATCTAAACATGACTGGATGAAACAATAAGAGTATTCTCTTTTGGTTTTAGGTGGGCTTGGATTTTACAGGACATCTTGGGGATTGCTTTCTGTCTGAATTTAATTAAAACACTAAAGTTACCCAACTTCAAGGTAAAGTATGCTACTTTGATAGCTGAAATAATTCTTTTTTTCAAAACAACTTTATTAAGGTATCATTTGCGTATAGTAAAATGCACCCACCTCAAATGTACTGCTTGTTGCAATTGTACAAATGTGGAGCGTCACGGTCACCATCCCACTGGAGTTGCGTGCCTTCCCCACGTCTCACCCAGCTCTTGGGGGCCTGTCTGCTGTCCACCCAACCCCAGGCAAGAGCAACCACTGATTTTCTGAGTAAAACATTCTTAGTCATTTAATATGCTCAGTTCATAAAATCCTTTTGCGATAGAATTTCAGGGAAGAACATTTGTTTGATTCAGTGATTTTTTTTTTTAAAGAAATGGGACAATCTGAGCAGGTGGTGCATGCCTATAATCCCCCCATTTGGGAAGCTGAGGCAGGAGGATCACTGTGAGTACAAAGCCAGCCTGGGCTACCATGTGAATTCAAGGCCAGCCTGACCTGTACAGTGAGGACCTATCTCAAAAAGGCAAAAAGGCAAAAAAGAAAAAAAAAAAAAAAGATGGAAAGAAAAAAAAAAGAGAGATGGGACAATACAGAAAAAGGTTTTCATGTGGATTATGGAACAAAAGTCCACATACGAATAACCAAAAAAAAAACTGATTTTTTTTTTTTCTTACTGGGGATCAAACTCAGGACCTCATGCTTGCCAAGCCGGCACTTGTGCCTCTGAGCTAAATCCCCAGTCTCTTAAAAATAAGCTTTTAAAAATAGTATTCAATCTGAGCCATGTTTCCTGATTTAAAAAAAAAATAGTATTCGAATGTATGTTCACATGTTTGTTTGCACTTGCAAAGTATTTAATCTCTAAATTTGGACATGATAAGTTTGACCTTTAAATTTGTTTCTTTCTTCCACAGTCGTGTGTGATACTTCTAGGCCTTCTCCTCCTCTATGATGTGTTTTTTGTTTTTATAACACCATTCATCACAAAGGTATGACTGTGTTTTCTAAAGCCACGAGAAAGCATGCTAAAAGATGAGTATCTTAAATCTGCTCATAGATTATTCTTACAGATATTTGCCACTTGAGTTGTAAATTCTTTTAAGAGCATTGTCATTGAGAATTCAATTCACCTTTTGATAGTGGGTATTTTCCAGCTTTTAATCCATTATGTTAGATAAAAATGTCCACTGAATGATGTAAAAATGAGAATGTCTATTTGTTCTACTCATTTGAAAGGAGTTTTTCTTATTATAAAATAATAAATGGGGGCTAGGGATTTAGCTCAGCGGCATAAGCACCTGCCTTGCAAGCAGGCGGTCATGAGTTTGATCCCCAGTACCAATAAAAAAAAATAAAAAATATAAAAAATAAAATAATAAGTGTCAGGACTGGGGATATAGCTCAGTGGTATGGGCACCTGCCTGACAAGCGCAAGGTCCTAAGTTTGATTCCTGATTCCAAATAAATAAATAAATAAAAATGTCAACTGTAGACAATATAGACAGCTAAAAGGACAGAGTGAAAGAGAGAAAAACAAAATGTGTTGCTTCCACTTTCACTTTGAGCTCCTAGGTTGAGACTAGGGAAGAGTAGCCTACTGGACATTTGAAGACCCAGACTGTAGCTCTTACCTCATGGACAGAGGCAAGTTCCTGTCCCTTCCCACCCCAGGTTCCCTAGCCTTTCGCCCACTGCTGCATGGGCAGATACCTTCTGGGGGAGACCGACAGAAGCCGCCCAGAACTGTGCACGGAGGCCAGGGCGGGCTGGACCTGTACTCATTGTCCCTGCCTGGAGCCAGCCTGTTCCCTTAGCTGGCAGCTCCCAGCTCACATAATCCCAGCTCCCCGGCTCCTTGGGGAAGGAGAGGCGTGGGTGGGCATGGTCATCTTCCTCTACCATTGTCCACTTGGTCATCTTCCTCTACCATTGTCCACTTGGCCTACCTCAACCCTGTTCCCTCTTTACTCACTTTCCATTTTATTTTGAATTTTGTTTTCTAAGATTTTATTCTTTTTTCCTTTGTCACTGACACATATTTAGCATTTGAAATTCACTACTTTATTTTTATTTTATTTTATTTTTTTGTGGTACCAGGGATCAAACTCACAACCTTGTACTTGCCAGGCAGGCACTTGTGCTGCTGAGCTAAATCCCCAGCCTTCCCTACTTTATTTTGTTTTATTTATTGTATTTTGTTTTTGCAGTGCTGGGGTCTTGTACATGCCAAGCAAGTGCTCCACCACTGAGCTCTGTCTCTACACACATTGGTTTTTTTATCTATTCTTCACACCCTGCCATCTATGAAATTACTATGTTAATCTACACTTTTGCTGGACACGGTGGCCTGTGCTGTAGCCCAGCAATTGGGAGGCTGAAGCAGGAGGACTGCAAGTTTGTATTTAGCCTAGGCACTTTAGGAACTTAGTAAGACCCTATTTCAAAACATAAAAAATGAAGGCATAGGACAGCTCAGTGTGAAGGCCGTGAGTTCGGTCCCCAGTGCCTCACCCCCCAAAAGTTTTTGGACTTCTGATACTTGCTGTAAGACCTAGAACAAACTGTTGAGGACCTGATGTGGCCACCAGATATGAAACAGAGTTTGCTGTCCCAATCGCCTAGCACTTGCCATGCCTTAGCAATGAGCCGTTTGAGTCATCGACCTTGTTGGCCAATAGTGACCTGCAGAAAGCACAGAGCCCAAATTATGGGTGATAATAACATTGGTCATTTATTAAGGTACATTGTGAGTCCTGTCTAACGCCGTCCTGCTGGTATCACCTTACTTCATTCAAAATAACCTTCTAGTGCTCTGTCTACACAGCCAGCCACCCTGCACCTTGGCAAGCAGGCCATTGCCCGGGATGTGCACTACATTGCTTTATGAATGCCAAACTTTTGTCTGGCAAAGGATTTCTATCCCTGACACATGAAATGTTTCAGGATGGTAAAGCTATAGAGTAGTAATAAAGGTGTCTTTTAGCCTCCTTCCTTCTGGGCCTAGGAAAATGATCATCTGTTTTCCCCCATCTTAGTTCTACTGCTTAGGACAGTCATTTCCAGCAGTCTGTTTGAGAGGAGAAAGCCAACGTGCTTAGGGTCAGTCTTGATTTGTTTGTCTTTATGAGGCCTCCTGTCAGTAGTAATAAAACATGGAACTCAGGTGCTTAGTCCCCGATCTGTGTAGTTTTGACTGAACCTGATGGATGACCTGCGGGCTGCTGGAAGCCTGTCCCTGACCCAGGTGTCAGTGGGCTTCCAGGGGGAGCACAGCGCCAAGAACCTGCGCATGACACACTATGTGAGGCCCTTGCGCCATCACTGCGTCGTGGCACTGTGGTGGCTACTCAGATGGCCGTCAGTGTGAGGAGACCTCGGTGATGCAGCGGCAGGATTCTCACAACAGCTGAACACTGAACCCAAGGGAACTCTGTTGGGAGGGTGGATCACACCCTGGGACTCTGCTAATCAAGAACTGGATCTGATATTAGCTCATCTTTGCCAGACCTCCGGGACTTAACCCTTCCACCCCAAGCCGAACATGAAAAGGTTTCCGTAGCCAGAGATTTTATCTTTTTCCTCGGCTTAGGGCTTAGTGAAGCTCTGCTAAAAACATGCAAGTGATCCTTGCTGTGCACCCCACCCCCAGGAAGACAGTGCTGTTCACTGGTCACGTGTTCCTAAAGTTAGCATTGTTAGCTTCCCTCCACCTGCTTTGCCGATGGGTGATGGACGCTTCCTCAGCCAGCTACCTGGAGCCCAGCTGGGCTCTCAGCAGACTGCTGTAGGGAGGAGACTTCGCTGAATCCCTCACACAGCGCCTGAGAAGTCTGCAGCCAGACAGGGCGAGGGAAATTGAGCTAAGGTAAATGTTTTGATTGGAAGGTGGAGAGCAGACAGGGCTGAAATCAGACAGGAGAGAGGCTGGAGAGCTTTCTGAGGTTTGCTAGGGCTTGACTATTTTATTATTGTGAGCAGCCAGAAGATTAAATGCATACTATTCAAATAAAGTGACCCAAATCTGTTACCAAGCTATGTTTAAGAGATTTTAGTATGTCTTTCTTCTCTATGTTGCTGAAAATGACTAAGAACTGTCATATGTTACGTTGTAAATAATTAAAAGTGCTTTGGCCAGGCATGGTGGCACACTCCTGTATTCCCAGGAGGATTGCTGCCAGTCTAAACTATACTATATTGTCTCAAAAGAAAAAAAAGTACTTAAGATGTATAACCCATTACAAATTTTTGACTTTTAGGGGGGATACCGAGAATTGAACTTGCAACCCATTACAAATTTTAAAAGTAAAGTCTAGAGTTTAAAGATGCTGTTGAGTAATGTGTGTACAACCTAGTCATCAGTTTTGAATAATTATTGAGTTCTTACAGAGCAGAACCATGTGCTCAGTAAATTTTGTTTCAGATATCTTGAGTTCTTCCTGACTACAGAGATAGTTTTAGGAAAATTACCACCCGTCTACAGCAGCCCTGTGTTAGGGGACTTAACTCCTCGAATGGTGACAGGTTGTCCTCCTGGCATGATGGGTCACTTCACCTTCTTTTTGTTTTCAGAACGGGGAGAGCATCATGGTTGAACTTGCAGCCGGACCGTTTGGGAACACCGAAAAGGTAGGCGTGAGCCTGGGTGGCAGCAGTGCCCTGCCCACTGCACTGCCTCCCTGTGTCATTCCAGTTCTTGTTAAGCTATTGTAAAACTTATTTCTCACAAAATATAGCCCGTTTCTTTAGTTCTCTAAATTATTCAACACCTATTGACTTGGGTTTCATCCTAGAATGATGGAAACTTTGTGGAAGCCACTGCTCAGCCCTCAGCTCCCCATGAGAAAGTAAGGATTGTGTTTCAGAAGTGTTCCCGGGACTCTAATCACACCCTCTGAGACAAGACTCTTCTGTGGGGGAACCCAGGTTGCCAAAAAAATCTGTTTCAAGGCCTGAGTCCTATTCTTGGTAAAACTAAAAAAGAAAAGCAAAGACAAGGTTAGCTATGGGGAGAGTGGACCTATGCTATCAATCCTTCATGGCTTGGGTTTCTTTTTCCCAGAACTACATATCTACTTCTTTGGGTTTCTTTTTCCCAAAACTACATATCAAGCCTTCTGTACACACAGAGTTTGTGTATGTAACATATACGTGTGTGTGTCTGTATGTGCATAGACATGTGACCCGATCTGCAGCCTCTGACTTCAAGGGTCTTTTTTTTAACTGTCAGTCTATAAAAATGTTAAAACAAGTATTATAATGTTAGTCCTTCCTTTCGAAAACAAAACTAAACTAAACTCGGGAAGAGGTTTACTGGTGGCCTTTCTTTTTCTTTCTGCCTTCTTTCTCCCCCTGCACAGTTGCCAGTGGTCATCAGGGTGCCAAAGCTGATCTATTTCTCAGTGATGAGTGTGTGCCTCACGCCTGTCTCCATCCTGGGCTTTGGAGACATTATTGTACCAGGTAAGTGACTATGACAATTGTGGTGAAGATACTCTGTACTGGTGGCTTTAAGTCCTTGTCCATACGGTGTCTGTCAGAAGTTACCTACTCCATGTTGATTATGTCTGGCTGTTTCCAGAGCTGGGGTCACTGCCAGATGCAGAAAAGGAGCATTTTGCAAGGTAGAAGATAGGCCCAGATGGTGCCCACACAGCAAAGTATCCACAGTTTAAGAGTATCTGAGAGAAAGCAGCGAGGATCAGCTTAACCTGCTTTCCTAATAAAGTTATTTTGTGACCCTTTTTAAAAGTTGAAAACAACACTGACAAACACATCCATTTTGTATGAGTTGTGTTTTAGGCAGTAGTTCGGGGATAGTAGGCCAGGTTATGCTCAAGAGGTAGAACTAGCAGCCAGCGTTGTGTGGCTTTCTAATCCAGACGGGGTGGTTGCAGGAAGCGGGTTGCTTACTCCCAACAGCAGTGACCTTGCTTCCTGATTTCCCCAGGGCTCCCTGGGGGACAGAATCTGAAATCACAGGCAAGAGAGCACAGCTGCCAGGTCATTGACAAGGCCTCTGAACTCTGCCAGGCTCCCAGGCAGGCACCAGCCCACAAGATGCAGTAGAGAGGCCAGGCTTCCCAGTGAGCCCAGGTGGATTGTGATGCACGGGGACGGACTAAACCCATGTTCAGAGAAAGGTCAGTGCCACCAGGAAGAGCCACTGAGGCCCAGCGCATTGAGGCCACCTGTTGCTTTCTCAGGATGCTGGCTGTTAAGAGGTAGAAACATTTCGCTCTAGGAGGAAGAAAGAAGAGAAAGGGCCGGGGGATCCAGTTTTAAGCTTCATCTTTCATTTTATTGTGAAAACAATGAAATTTGCAGTTCCTTTCCAAAGAAACAGCTCCATTTCAGAGTATTTGGTCTTGGCCTGTCAGCTGAGCATCGGCCTCCTGCCTTGTTTTCTCTCCTTGCCTGTGCACCGATGGCTTTGGATGGGGCAGAGCGCAGCCCTGCAAAGGCCCTCCTGTTTCCAGAGTACAAGGAGGGCAGTAGGGAGGCTGGCAGTGCTGCCATGGGATTGGCCTGCAGAGCCGAGCTTAGCGAACCTCCATTCCTAGGTGGCCGGGGGAGGACGCCTCCAGTCACCTACAGTTCCGTCCGCACTGTTCAGCTGTTCTCCACGCGTTCCCTGTCTTACCATTTCCACATGAGGGCTGCATAAGAACCTCTGTACAGCCTTTGGCATAGGACAAGTAAAAATCATAAATAAATGTTCTATTTTTAAAGTAAACGTCAAGGCTGTCAAACAGAAACATGTCCCCAAAGGGCAGAGTTAACGGTACGTGACTTAATGTTAACAACTATATTCTAATTTGGAGGTGGACCGTGTTCTTAATACATGAGACTGTGATTATACACCACCCAGAGGAAAAAGAATAGAGACAAAAACTAGTTAATTCAAACAACCAGGAACCAAGTTACTTTGCTTTTTTTGAGTGGTTAAATGATGTTTTTACTATTTTGTAAAATATTTAATAAATACAGTCAGGTTTTCTTCATAGGGAACAGCAATTTCTTGTAAGACATAGGTATTAAAAGAGTTGTTTCAGAGCTGGGCATGGTGGCTTGTGCCTGTAATCCCAGCACTCAGGAGGCTGAGGCAGGAGGATCATTGCAAGTTCGAAACCAGCCTGGGCTACAAAGTGAGCTCAAGGCCAGCCTGAACTGCATAGAGAAACCCTGTCTCAAAAAGACAAAAAAAAAAAAAAAAAAAAAGAGTTGATTCTGCCTACAGTGCTTGCATGTTTACAAATGAGGGCTTGTTGGGCTGGGGATTTAGCTCAGTGGTATAAGCACCTGCTTTGTAAGTGCGCAGTCATGAGTTCGATCCCTGGTACTGATTCAAAAAAAAATGAGGGTTTATTTTGCACTGCTTTTTAAGTTCTACATTTGCACTTCAGATCTGTCTGTTGCAAAGAGGACTTTTTGAATCACACTTCGAAATTACTTTCTTGATGGTCTTTCAATATATTTTAAATATATATACATGTATTTTATTTAAGTTGACCAAAATTGTATGTACTTAGTGTGAGCAACTCATTGTGAGATATTTATGCATTGCAGAATGACTAAATCAAGCTAATTAGCATATGCATTAACTCACATAATTATTTTTGGTGATGAGAACACTACTTATGGCAAGTTTTAAGAACAGATTGCCAGGCCTAGGGATTTAGTTCAGTGGCTGAGGCGCTTGCCTGGTGAGAGTGAGGTCATGAGTACAATCCCCGGGACCAAAACAAAAAACCAAAAACCAGAATACCTGTAATCCCAGCATTCTGAGAAGTCAGGCAGAAAGATTGCAAATCAAGTCCAGCTTGGGCAACATAGTAACTTAGCAAAACCTTTTCTCAGAATATGAAAAGGGCTGGAGATATAGTTCTGTGGAAAGACTCCAGATTTCATCTCTAGAACTGTGCACACACACACACACACACACACACACAAGCACACATTGCTATTGATTATCATCACCGTGTCATGTGATGATCACCATTTCTTGAATTTATTCCTCCCATCTAAATGAAATTTATACCCTTTGAGAAAAGCTTCCCCGAACCCCTACTCCTACCCTGCCATTGTTAAATACCACCTTACTCTCTACTTCTGTAAATTCAACTATTTTAAGTACTTTTTCTCCTGTTGGTACTGGGAATTGAACTCAGGACCTTGCGCTTGTCAGGCAGGCGCCATGCCACTGAGTGTATCCCTGGCCCCAACTATTTTTGATCCCACTTATACCGAGGTCACACAGGATTTGTTTTTCTGTGTCTGGCTTATTTCGTGTGGCATGCTGCCCTCCAGGCCTATCCACGTTGTTACAAGTGATGGAACGTTATTCTTGTTTCAAAGATGGGTAGTACTGTGTTGTGTGTCTGCACTGTATTCCCTTTACCCTTTCGTTGGAGGTTTAGGATGATCCCATGTCTGGCCGTGGTGAGTCATGCTGCAGTAGAAAGCAGATGTCTCTTCCATTTCCTCTGGATGTGTGCCTGCAGCCCTGGAAGTGGAATTTCTGGATCATCTGATAGTCCTTTTTTCAGTTTTTAAGGGACCTGCATACTGTTTTCACAGTGGCTGTACTAGGGTCCCTTTCTCCACATCTCTCACACTTAGCATCCATCTTTGGGGAGACAGCACTGAGAACTGAACCCAGGGCCTCACACACGCTGGGCAAGCACCCTGAGTTGCACCCCTACCCCGACTTGTCTTTTTGAGAATGGCTGTGCTCACAGGTGCAGGCTAACAACATATGGAGTTTTAATTTGTAGTTCCCTGTGATCAGTGACTTGGAATATATTTTATGTGTCTGTTGGCCGTTTGTATGTCTTCTTTTGAAGAATATATGTTCAAATCCTTTGCCCTTTTTTAAACACTGGGTTATATGTTTTCCCACTATGGAGTTGTTCCCTGTATATTTTGGCTGTTAGCTGTTTATCCTGCGTGTGGTCTGCAAAGATTCCCCTTCCATAACCTCATCGCTTCACTCTTGTTTCCTCTGCTGTGCAGCTTTTTTAGATTTATCTATCCCACTGGTCTGGTCAGTGCATTTTCTAAAGAAACATTGAAAACTTTTTCTCCATGACATGAAATACTGAGCAGTTAATAAAATCATGCTTTTAAACATTGTTTTAAACATGGGGAGATGTTTAAAATAGATTGCATTTTTAAAATAAGCATGTAAGTCTTTATATAGAATTTGAGGTACTTTAACAATCTATTGCCAAAGGGAAAGTTAAATGGAATATAATACACACTGCTGTCATAGTTGGATTGACATTGCTGTAACTGTTTTAAGACAAGTAATGTGGAGGATATTTTTGTTTTTTAGGCCTGCTAATTGCATACTGTAGAAGATTTGATGTTCAAACTGGTTCATCTTCTATCTACTATATTTCTTCCGTGATTGGTAAAGTTATTTTTCTTCTTTTTTTATGTGTGTCTATATTGTTTTGTCTGGAGAAAAAGACAGAAATCTGAAGATAATGAGTCCTGGATTCTGTTGATTTACCATGTTTTTCCATCAAAAAGAGACAATTGTATAATTTCTATTACAAGGTTTTAGAGGATTAAAAAGGAAATGAGATGTGTGGGGGGGTTAGATCTTATAGACAATGTTTATTAAAATATCTGTAGCCACAAATAGCCAGTAAATTGGGTATTACTAGATTTTTAAAGTATCATGGATGGTTATATATTTATATACATTAATTTGTGGCACAATAATGTCTCAGTTAGGACACAGCAGGAGTCACTTACCCTCCCTTACTGAGAGAGGAGTCGGTGACAGGAAGTGAGCCAAGTGTGCCCTACTGTCCCTGCACGTACCAAAGGGATCTCAGAGCCCACACCCGCTTTTGGTGCTCAGGCCCCAGTGCTAGCCTGGGGTCCCCAATGTGCCCTGCGGAACTTGGTATGGCCACCGCAAGGTGTGCCTCGCTGCTGGAAAAGGGCAATCCTGAAAACGGGACTCTGCCAGCAGGAGAGAAGGGCTCAGCGAGGGAGAAGATGGAGAAGAAAACAGGGAAAACAGTGTGAGGCTGTCAGTTACCTCCGTAGAGCCTGGTGCCAGTCAGGGTGGGGGATGAGGGGCTCCTGTGGAAGCCAGAAGAAGGGGAAGGTGGCCTGAACTCTCCTGGGTCATTTGGGGTGGCTCGGCCAGCCCCCACAGCCACATGCTCAATGCCCCCAAGGCCCTCCCAGCCCCCGGAGCCTGGGTCCTTAGGAAAGGTCACTTGATGTCTGACGGTGCCTTCCAAACAAGCCGGAAGGGTCATCCACTCTAGGGAGATTTTCCAAGCAGCCTTTAGTTAGTACTCACAGGTACAGTTGTAGTCTCCTTTCACGACAGATAATGGGTACCTCTTTACCTTACCTTTACCCATGGTCCCATGGTCAAGGCTTAGGCTGAAACAGTAACCAGTTTCCAAATTCATCCAAAGCTCTGTGAAATGTTTTTCTTAAGATATTTGTCTGGGAAGACATGGAAATTATGAGAAAAGGTCATGTAGTACAGATGTCTTCAGAAATGTTTGAAAGTCGGTACATTCACAGCGGGGGACAGATGCCCCTTGGGTAGCAGGGAAAAGTGACCAGAACCTGGTGTTCTTGCAGCCTACGCCTTTGGCATGATCCTCACCTTCGTTGTTCTGGTGCTGATGAAGCAGGGCCAGCCTGCTCTCCTCTACTTAGTACCTTGCACACTCATTACTGCCTCTGTTGTTGCCTGGAGACGGAAGGAAATGAAAAAGTTCTGGAAGGGCAACAGCTATCAGGTAGGTGCTCACACCTGATCCCTCCCAAGTCCGTGGGGACAGCTGGCGTGTATCAGCTGAAAACTCACCGTAGACCCTCCAGGTACAACATCAGCTCTCAGGGAAACAAGACAGCCTGTCCATGTGCACTTGCAAAATGCTCATTAAAGTGCCAGGCGTGGTGGCACACGCCTGTCATCCCAGCTGTCAGGAGGCTGAGTTTGAGGCCATCCTGGGCTTCCCAGTGAGTCCAAGGCCAGTCTGAACTGCATGGTAAGACCCTGTCGCCAAAAAACCTAAAATTCTCATTAAAGTAAACTTGAAGAAGATGGAACTATGCCTAAAATTAGTGCTGGAGTTTGAGGCGGACCTTAGCCATGGACAATAAGAGTCCTAAGGTTTTATAGATAAATGTTACATATGTTCTCTCTAGCATCTGAATACGCCTCTCCAGAGCACTCATTGCAGACTGAAATGGAACACGATGCCTTTTCTTTAAAATTCCCTTTTTCTTTCCCTAATATTGTTCGTATTCTGACGAAGTCTTTTTGTGCTGAAGTGCAAAGTACAGGCTTGGGAAGCGTTTGCCTGCCGAGGTCCAGGCCAGCAGTGGCCCTGCTGTGAAGGCAGCTCTGGGACAGTGGGCCCTCCGGCGTCCTGGGAGGTCCACGTGTGTCCAGTGAGGGGCTGGCTGCTGTGTCCCTGCCGGAGCAGGTATAAGTCAGTGTGCCCTCTGGGGTGCTGTGTGGCATCGCTCATCGCAGTGTCCTTTAATGGCAGGTGGTCAGCACATTCCCTTACAGGCTGCAGTTGCTAGGAAAGGCACTAGTTTGCAATTCTTTTAGGTAAACCGTGTCATTTCTTGGAGATTTGTGTAAAATAACAATACCTGCCTTGCCTACTGCACAGTGTTGATGCTCCAACTTATGTTCATGTACAAGAATTTAGTTTGTGGCCATAGATCCTTGATTAAAGTAGTAAAGTGACTTTTAATATTTCCATAAAGGTGATGTGCACATAGTTTTTATTGTTCTGGCTCCAGGGATTGAACTTGGGGCCTCTCACATGCTAGGCAAGCACAGATATTTTATATTTATAGATTTTTAAAAATTCAAAGTATATCCTACAGCACATACTCTATGACTAACCTTTGGGTATCACATCCCAAAAAGGACTTGTTGCTTATTTATTTATTTATTTGTCCACTAGTAGCCTTGAAGTCACAGTAGTTCTCCTGCCTCAGCCTCCCGTGTGCTGGGATTACAGGCATGTATCACCATGCCTAGCAAGGATCACTGTCATTTTGTTTTATTTTGAAGAGAATAAAAGAAAATAAAATGAAATAAAACAATGAGAACAATATTGGACTTCAAAAACGAGACAGTAGGAAATCCACAATAGTCACCATAGAGTATATTGTTACTCTCTAAATAGATTCTCAGACAACCAGCGTTAGGTCTGCAAAGTCAATCAAACAATACAAGCGTTAGTTGGTTCTTTACTTTGGTTGCTGCTACCTCAGCCTGTGTTCCTCCTAATCAGCTGGTTGCTTACTGGGATGGGGAGAAGACGTCTTCTTTCCCTGCCCATGTGCTGGGTGACTCACACGGCGGGCACTGTTTCCTTGTTCTCTCCTGGCCAGTATCATTTTTACTAGTTTTATATTTCTTCATTTAACAGATGTTTATTGAATTAGGTAGCATTTTAGACCCTGCTGATAGAAGATGCACAAATGACACACAGGCCTATTTGCATGGGCTCTGAAAGGTTCCAGTTGAGTAGGGTAAAGCCAAGTGATGTCACTAGCAGTGTGATAGAGGTGTTGGTAGGGATGGGCACCATGGAGCCAGAGACGAGATGTGGGCACCAGTGGATTCAGATCAGGGGCACCGTGTCTTGGGAAAGATCCCTGAAGAATGCTGAATGAACAGTGATGATCTGAAGGCTGAGTCCAAGTTTGTGTTGCAGGGGCTGTGCCTTTGCAGGCTCCTGGAGAGAGAGAGTCAGGGTGGGCATTCTGGGAACTGGGCGGAGCTTAGGATGGGTATGCGGTTGAGGAGATGGAAACAGAGAGAAGCAGACAGAAATGTCTCACTAGAGTCTCACAGGCCATGTTAAAGTAGATGAGGTCAGGAGAAATGCAGGGCATAGTTGGTGGAGCTTTGCACTGGGTTCTTTGTTGGGAGAGGAAAAGGGAGCTCAGGGTTACAGCAAGGAGAGCAGCAGGTTTAGGGAGGAAGATAATAAATTCAGTATTGTACATCTTAAGTGTTGGACATGAATTCAGTGCTGGACATTCCAGAGTGCCTGTGGAACACAAGAAGAGACAGATAATATGGGGTGTGGTCAAAATATATGGTGAATCTTTTAAAAATTATTACAAGCTATGAGTGGTGGCACATGCCTGTAATCCCAGCTCTTGGAGGCTGAGGCAGGAAGATTGCTGTGAGTTCAAGGCCAGCCTGGACTACATAGTGAGTTTCAAGGCCAGCATGAACTACAGAGTAAGACCCTGTCTCAAAAAATCATGATGCTTCGACAGTCCTCCCTGTTATCCCATCGCTTTTTTTTTTTCTTTTTTCCTTTTTATCGGTACCGGGGATCAAACTCACGACCACCTGCTTGCAAGGCAGGTGCTTATGCCACTGAGCTAAATCCCCAGCCCCCTATCCCATCGTTCTGAAGCAGTCCTGGAGTGCTCTTTCCTGAGTGTCTTTATGAGGCGTGATTAAAACACAGTGACTGCTGCTCACCCCATCCTACGGCAGGGCAGGTTCATACAGAGATGCTCTGTGTCCTCACCTACTTTATTCACTGAGTCTTGCATGGTGTGTCTCTGGCTCTTCCCCAAAATCAAAGTGACCAGGAAAGGGAAAACTTTTGAATGGATTCGGTACGCCAAGGCAGCCAGGAACCGCAATGAAAGACCCTCAGGAAAGAGGACTCCAGAGCTGCTGTGGGAAGGGGCGAGAGCCTTGTGATGAATGTGTTCAAAGTGAGGGGGAGATGTTGAGAGGAAGTAACAGCAATTATTTACTGCTGTAGTTTTTTAAAATTTAAAAACACTCACGTTCTCCCATCATGGTCCATCAGGAGTAAACATGGGCTGGAGACAGACCTGGCTGCAGAGGCATGTGGGTGTCAGGATCATATGAGGTGGCTGAGGGCACAGAAGAAAAGTGGGACACAAGAGTGTCCACCACGCAGGACACTGACGGTCTGCGAGGCAAGTCAGGGCAGGCAGCACCTTTGTGGGCTTGTGGTTTAGGGTCCGCACTAAATCTTAGCTTAGAATTTAAGCCTGGGGTGTTTGAGAATTGCGTGCTTCTTGTCACTTTCCTCCCATTTTATTTTTATTTATGAGAAAGCCCTTTCCCTTCAATGCAGCTCTTATGTACTTTGTTATAAAAACGAGTGCTTACTGTGGAAAATTAGGAAAATGTAAAAAATACCAGGAAATCAAATCCACCCCTAGTCCTGCCACCTAGAGATAGCTAAGGTCAGGGGGAATTTCCTTAGGCCTGCTGAAGGTAATGCAGAGGTTTCTGGATGATGCTCTTAATAGTTCCCAGCTTGCTTTTTCAGTGCATTTTTACCTCAAATTCCTTGTAAAAATCATTTTATTGACTGTGTAATATTCTCTTCCTGGGCACGTACCAAACCTTGCCTAAAGAAATTTCTCTTTAAAAGGTTATCGAGAAAATAACTGACACTGTGGGCAAAATCGATATGAACAGTTGTTCATACCAGTATTTCTGGTCTTCTTGTTCTGTTCCAATGATTTATAGGTTAATATTATTGGCAGTTAATGTTCTAAAGTCTTTATGTAGACTCTAATCACTTCAATAATTTTTTTTTGCTTGTGTGTTTGTTGTAATGCATATTTGTGTTTTTCAATCATGAACACAAAAGTGTTTAAAAGTGGAAGCCCCTTTTCTAACCACCCCGTGCCTCTCCCATCCTTGAAAAGGACCGACTAGCTAGGCACAGTGGTGCACAGCTTAATCCTACCTACTTGGGAAACTGAGGCAGGAAGATCTCAAATTCAAGACCAGCCTACACAATTTAGTGAGATCCTATCTCAAGCAATCAGAAGCCCTGGGGTAGGGCAGAGTAACTCAGTGCTCCCTGGATTTGGTTCTTAGTACCACAGAAGGGGTTGGGATGGGACAGCTATTTTGAATAGTTTGTGTATGTTCTTCTTTGTTTATGCCAGCTCGCACTGGAAACAGTTGAATGTTTAGGTTGTTCTATACTTAGATGAACTAACACTGCATTTCCCTGAAATTCTCCATAGCTCATTTGTGTCTATGGTTGTTTCTAGCACCTTTCTTGCTTGCTAGGGCTCTAGGTTTGGTCCTTAGCACCACTAAGAGACAAATAATAAATTAGGGCTTTGAGTTCGAGGCCAGCCTGGACTACAAAATGAGTTCGAGGCCAGCCTGAACTGCGTAGAGAGACCATGTGTCTAAAAAAACACAACCTCCTAAAATGTATTTGCTATTACTTGTAGGAATGGAGAGTTTTTGTTTTGGTTTATTGGTTTGGTTGTTATTTTTCGATTCATTAACTGAGTTTTCATTTTCCTGGTTTAAATACTGCAACTTCAAATTTCTGTTAAATCTGGTTCCTGTAACTTGTGAAAGGAAAAATCCTAACTCATCAGAAGCCTAAGAGAAAAAATTGTTTAGACTCAGCTATTTTTCCATTGTGTAGCAAATTCTAAAATAATGAAGAACAGAAATTTGCTGAAATTTTAGGCAGTTTAGTCACAAAGCATTAAAAATTATCATCAGGAGAGACACTGTTTTTCCAGAAAACTAGCATTTTTGAAAGCTATACAATGCCTTCGTGAAATTATTTCCCCATTCATGTGGAGAAGAAACCTCTTTTGTTGCTTGTGTCCAACCTTTAAAGTCAAATTTAGTTCAGTTTGCTATTATTTGTGAGTGAAAATATCTTCTAGCAGGTTTTGGTCTGTTTGTTTGTTTGTTTTGAGATAGGATCTCACTGTGTAGTTG